TAGTTATTGATCATGACTTTTATTGACGATGAACAAACAGTACGTCTCGGTTTTTGCGTTCTTTTCCTATCACTGAGATATTCCACCTCAGAAATTTAGCTGTCGATTGTTGGACTCATTATGAGTAGAAGTCAACAGGAATTTTACGGATTTATGTATTGTCCTTCAACTTCGACGACTATTCAGTCTTTCGGACGCAGAACATTGTGTGGTTTCGGATCGAAATCGTCTAAATTTTTACAAAGACATTTGAGGAAATTTGCTACCCTGCCTCCTCCGAGTTGCTCAATTCCTTATCACATTTTTGATCTATCTCATGAATCAATTCAAATCCCTTGGACAGATCATCGTAATCCAGCTCAAAATCTAGTTCCACTAAAAAAAATCTGTTTTAATAAGAATGGAATCATTATCAGTTAATCATTATCAGTGGAATCATCATCAATGAAATCATTATCAGCTTCAAGTTAGTCAGCTGTTATACTGGGATTTTAGCCGAGCAGAGTGCGCAGGTGGAAACACCGCCGACGAGACGTGCAGAACGGCCTCGAAGTCGGCATCCTGATCGACAACGTCAGCATGAGGAATCTGATGAGACCGAGCCAAGCACGTGTACATCAGATAAAGAAATAATTGAACGACTCCTTGACAAGTACAAATCATATAAAACTCCTTCCGAAATTGGTGTTATTGTTTGGATCGAGGTAATTACTGCATACCAGCTTTTCGCTTTGAACAGAAACTATATGCTTCATTTTGACCCGTATGCAAGATGTCGTCTTGCTCATTTTCGATTACTCATTGGGATGATACTTTGATCCGACGACGATCACTTTGACGAGATGTTTTCTCTTAGACTACACATTCGATTCGTTGAAGGTATGGGTCCAAGAAGTGAACTCAGTCAACGAAATAACATCAGATTTCGATATGGACATTTATGTGACTGAGTTGTGGCTGGATAAAGCACTTCGTTATGAGGACATGAATCCGTGCAAGTATAACCTCTCGTTAAACAGTGAGGTAACTTTTTCATAATGCTGCTGCAGCTCACGTAACTAAACTCAGCGAATGTGTTCAAAAGTGATTCCCTGCGAAATTTATCAGCTTATAATCTTTTTGATTCAATCTTAAGACCCTGATAAAAACAACTGATTCTATTCAAGAAAGATTTCATGCCTCTTCAGATAATGTTACATATTTGGAAACCGAACACGGTATTCATCAACAGCAAATCAGCACATATTCATAAATCACCATTTACAAACGTTTTTCTCATGATATATCCAAACGGAACCGTTTGGGTTAATTACAGGTTGCTATTGATTCCTTTTTATTTCGATTTGTTGCCAGTGTTTATTATGTATTCTCAAAGTTCATGAACTTAGAAACAGGGTCAGATCGGAGAAATTTATCCATTGATTGTTCTGGATCTGTTCAAGTGACGATTCCTCGAGTTCTTTGACTGAATCGAATGTTCGTAAACGGTTTGATTAAACCTAAAAATAACGACAGAAGAGTTCTCGGCACATTCAAGAAATCTCATTGGTATTTAAAATCATTGCTAGGAGTGAACCAACCATTCATATCCGTGACCGGTCAATCTGCCTAAAGACATTTTACCTAACGGATAGTTTACTTAAGGAACAGGTCGCCTATCAGGCGAAATATCCATAAAAAACCGTAAGTTAGGCAAACTATCCGATAGGCAAACTGTCGTTAGGCAAAATGTCTTCAAGCAAATTGACCGGGTACCATTCATATCACACGACTGAGACACTTTCAGGGTCCAAGTGAAAGGTCCTTGTATGATGGACTTCACATCGTTTCCAATGGATGAGCAATCTTGTCTTCTCACGCTCGAAAGTTTCAATTACAATTTACAGGTGATGACCTACATCGAATTTTGGCTGAATAAATTTTTCCAAGCTCTCTATTTGCTGATAATGAACAGTGGCCATCAAAACGAGGCAACTGCTCATTCTGAACAACTGACAATGAGAGATCACAGAAACAGCCATTTGGTAAATGAAACGTATAAAATGGATGTTGCAGGAAGTGGATATGCGATGGACGAACACAACAGCGCCACTATCGCTAATGAAGGAGGAAATTGTGCTTCCGGATTTTATCTTATCCAATTATGGTACCTATTTGAAACATGAGGTTACAAACAGCTTATAATTAAGCATTTACTTTCATAAGCCACTATCTAGTCAGTTCATAAGCCTTTATCGAATCTGCCTTCACGATCAGTAACCACCCCATACCTGCTGACTGGTTGGAGTGAGCGATTTCAGTCTAAATGCATTCCCTCAAAAGAATAGTATCCAATGTTTGCTCACTGCCAGATCAAACTACCTGCAAAATGCTTGCAGATGTACCCAGCTGGAATATGGAATGAACTAACCATGACGTTCACATTTACCAGGCGTTATGGTTGGTATATATTTCAAGCTTACTTACCAACATACCTCACAATTTTCATCAGGTTTGCACTTCTATCATTCATTTGGTTCATTCATTGGGTTCTGCCCTTCTTTGAGTGCCCACAACTGCTTCTAAGTCAGAACAGTCATTCTTGTTGGATTTATAACTGCTGCAAATCATCATTCCGGTTTTACGGATATTTGCATGGCATAAACTACATTGTTTTCGATATTCCGACACTGAATCCTTTAGTGAATGTATGTAATGAAACTGATTTACTGAACGAAAACAGATTTCTCGTTATATGTTGATCAGGATAATTTGTTCAGTTGGATCAGCTTCTGTTTGGGTCCAAAGATGATCCCAGCTCGAACGATGCTTGGTGTTAATTCGTTGCTCGCGTTAACGTTTCAGTTCGGTAATATAATGCGTAATCTGCCTCGTGTCAGTTATATTAAAGCTCTTGGTTGGTCTCACTTTCCAGCTCTTCATTATTTACTCCTTCCAATTCTAAATCTTTATGTTTCATGATCAAAATTGATTTTTGATTTCGATTGATTCTTAATTTCAAGTTGATTTTAAAGAATTATCAGTTGAATGTACTTCAACGAACGGAATCCTCGCACTTGAAAATGAATTAGTTTTGGTGTAAGCACCCTGACTGAGGTCATATTTACCCACTTACTTGAGCATCAACACTGGATTATGAAACTGAAACGGATGCTTTTTTCAGATGTTTGGATGTTGTCGTGCCTTACCTTTGTTTTTTGCTCACTTCTCGAACTGGCCGTTGTTGGATCGATGGGTGCCATGAGTGAAGTGAGTGCATATTCGACAAACTTTTCCCCTGTAACCCTCCCTTATGCCATTTTTCTGGCTCATTTCTTGATCTGTTCGGTCAAATGATTATCTCTGCTGCTGCTGATAATCAAAAATCTTAATTTTCACATTCTACGGAACATAAATTGATATACGAATGCTCCTCTGAGTATATCCGTTCGAGACAAAGTATGAAAATAAATTTTTTTTCCAACATTTCAGGCAGCAGCTATGAGGGCACCTCCAGCGCC